AACTACATAAAACTATACTATAACATTAATTAAAATAAATATATAAAAAAATATAAAAAATATTAAAATCATGATATATCCAAATCTACTGTTCGATTATTCTTCCAATAATTTAAGAAGCCAGTGTTGTTCAAAATGAATTAAAAGTAGTAATTAGATGCGTCTCTACGTGTCAGCCAAAGGGTCCTTGGCTATAAGTACAAGTGAAGGTGATGCCAAAATGTGAAAGGTGGAGGAGGTCGACATGACATGGCCACGCACGTGAACCCTTTACGTGTCCGCGATATGGGCTTACGGGCCCACTTACCATCTTGGGTTTTTTTTTTTTTTTTTTTTTTTAACTTTTGTTCTTTTCTCTATACCTTTTTCACGATTTTGACCTCTATTTATCCTTACTTGCACTTGCACTTGCATTGCATCTTTCTAAAAATATCCATCTATATATATATATATATATATATGTATATATTTATATTTATATTTATATAGAGAGAAATATATACATATAGAGAGTTGATTTATCATACAATCCATTACATTTGTATAACTAATACATTTTAATTTTAATCTTTAATTTAATTTGATGAATATATTATTTCATAAAAGTTTTGATTGTTTCCTAATATAAAATATTAATTATACCACAATCATTTTTTATAAATATTCAAATCATAATAAATGAATATGTTGGTAACATTTGGCTACACATATTATGAGCTTCTCTTAAGGTGTCTTAATACATAGAAATAGAAAGTAGGTCTAATCTGAAAATTGAATGAAGGTGTTTCTAGAGGCATGCACGTGTACATGTACATGTGGAATCACTCATCACCATTCAAATTACCACCCATCTCATTATCACATATTTTTGCTTTTAAAATCATCTCAAAGTTCCAACCAAATATCAACAAACCATCTTTAGATACAATTCTTTGTTTTATTTAACAAGGGTATTATTGTCTTTAGTTCAAGGTTCTAAATAAAGTAAGATGTGATATGACAACAACTTTAAGCCACAAGATTTATTACTTACGGTGAGGTTAGGATAATTTTTAAGCCATACCTTAAAGTAACAATATATATATATATATATATATATATATATATATA